AGCTCTTAGTCTTCCAGTCCTTGAACTACCTTTAGAAGCAGAAACATCATTAATTAATATCCTCTCCTTTTACTTCATGGGTTCTATAAAGCTCTTCCTGTATCCTTTTTATTAGACATGAATTGAGTAGATGCCTCTACCGTAGGAACTGTGGAGCATTTAAAGATGATCTGTGCTTTGTAGGATAACTAGAAAGTGCAGAGTAGGGGAGGGAATCCCCACCTGGAATCTTGGAATTTATTTGGTCTGTGTTCAGGAACTAGGTAGAACCATCCAGAGAACACCATTAGCAACCACATAATTACATTGGGGGTCACCGATCTTTTCATTCTTTCCCCTCCTCCATTCTTTTATTCTTCTGGTACTTCTTTCTTGCCTTGTATTTTTGCTTCATGACACAAGCATTTGCTGTAAGATGATCACTTCTGTTTCAAACCCCTTTTGAAACTCCAGTAGGATACCTGAGTATGTGTCTAAACTCCCTCCTCCCTTTGCAGTTTTCTTCATCCTGCTTTCAAATTGTCTTTGTCGCTCCAGGAGGACCCCCTTCCTAGGTGAAGTCATATCCAGGGGGGCTCTGTTCCTTTTATAATCTGTTCTCAACTTCAGTCAGTCTCCTTGTTCTTTTTATATTACATATCTGGTTTTTTTCTTTTAGAGACTTTTTTCTGGGGTTTTTTTTCCCTCTAATATATAGTATCTAGACCAAAAAGTGGATTTTATTGCACAGCAGTAAAAGAGGTCTAGAGAGAAGTAAATGCTTAGATGTCTGGATCATTCCTTCTGCTGACTGTGCCCTGTCCTCTTGGCTTCCATCTCTTTCCTCTGATGAAGGAGTCTTGCCCAGCTCTTTTCTCCCTTGTGGTCTCCTTTGCCCATGGGCACTGCTGTTGTTTGTCTCCGGAACCTCAGTGGGTTTTGTTTGAGAAGCAGAACACCATTGTGGAGCACAGCACTAAAAGTCCTGATTTCTGGTTCTAGCTCCATTTTGTGGTCTTGGGCAGGTCAACCTCCCTGAATGTCAGTTTCCTAATCTGTAAATAGATGAGGTTACCTGCTTGATCAGTTTCATAGGATGGTAATTAGGCTCATGGATGTGAAAAACCCTATCTAAAATCTAATGTGCCATCTTACTACAGGTAATAATTGAGGCTTTCTGAGCCAATGTTCCCAAGAACTGTTTGTCTGTTATAAAGTCACTGAATCCCTTGAGCTGTGGGCATTTGTCAGTCACCTAGGGGACTCATTTGTATCATATATGTATCATACTGAAGAAGGCTTAATCTCTAACCTTAAGAAGCACACAACCCAGTAAGGGAGATTAAAAAAAAAAAACACAGTTAAATATACATTGTCTGATTAATACTTTAAAAGAGGCCTTAACAGCGTGCTACAGCGTTGGTTCTCCCGGGACTGTCAGTGGCACCTTGGAGCTTGTTAGAAATGTCCACTGTTGGGCTCTACCTGAGACCTGTGAAATCAGCAACTGGAGATGGCCCAGCAGTCTGTGTTTTAACAAGTCTTCCTTTGCTACATGGTAATGATTAAGAGCCACTGTGCTTTGGCACAGAGGGAAGGAGGGATGAATTTCACCCAGAGCAGTTTACAGACGTAACTACTGATTTGGGCCTTTGAAGTATAAATAGGATTTCATGAAACAGAAAAAGTAAAGGAATGATATTCCAAATAAAGAGAACATCTCGAGCAAAGGTAGAAAGTAGATAAGCAGTGTGCTTGGAGAACTGCACCCAGCTCAGCATGACCAGGGCATAGGCTTTATAGGGCAAGTTATTAAAGGTGAAGCTAGAGAAGTGGGGTGCAGCTCAATTGCGTAGGGCTTCAGGCTCACACTAGTGGTTCTCAGATTTAGCTGTACATTGGAATCACCATGTTCCTCTCCCCTTATGATTTAATTTATCTGGAGGATGGCCTAGGGGATGGAATTTTTAAAAGATCCCCAGGTGACTGTAATGTGCAGACAAGATTAGGAACCACTGGCTTAGACTATTTTGTATATTGGAAAAGATTTTTTAGCATCAGAGTGACATGATCCAGTTTATGTTTTAGGACAATAATTGGTGTAAGGAAGGAGAATGGAAATAGGGCAACCTACTTATCCTTCACAACTCACATACGTTTAGGAAGCCTTCATTACCACCTTCTCATCCTCAAGGCCAGTTTAAGTGATTCTCCTGTGTGCTTCTGTAGCAGTGTTTCCCTTACCTTTGCACCTATCACCCTCTTGTAATTCTTGTATAACTGTCTTCTCTACTAGACCTCAGGTAGGGAAGCATGTCTAACTTTTTCTCTCTTTAGCATTTAACACAGTGTCTGGCTTCCAGAGTTGGCATTATTAATAAGTACTTTTTGATTAAATGACCAGTTAGATGATTATTTCAGTACTCCAGATAAAAGATAATAAAGACCATAATTAGAACTGTGGCCACAGGAAAGGAGAAAAGGACAAGATCTAAACTATTTCAAGATATAAAATTTATAGGATATGGTAACTGTGGATGTAGGAGGTGAAGGAGAACTCCTAGTCCAGGAACATACTGAGATTTTTAACTTGAGTAACCAGTGATACCATTAACAGAGTATAGAGAAGGAGGGATAGGTTTTAGGAGGAGACAGTTAATTTGCTTTTTTGGCATTTGGAAATAATTTAGCTCTCAGGTAAGATTGGGGTCAGGGATAGAGATCAGGAGTAGTGCTGGATCAGTTCTCAGTTGTGGCTCTACATTAGAATTATTTGGAGGTCTTTTACAACATTTCCAGTGCACAATCCCACTCTAGACAGGTCAGTCCGAATCTCTGAGGAATGGGGCCTAGACCTCAGTACCTTTTAAAAACCACGTGTGGGGTGGTTGCATTGTGCATCATGGTTGAGGCTCACTGGCAGAGGGTAAGAAGATCACATATAACCAGAAACAAAATGGTTTATAGTCAGAATCTGAAGGGGTGCCAATATTTAAGGGTAATTTGAGGAAGAAAGCCAGCAAAGGACATCCTTCATGGGTAAATACTGAGTCTTTTGGTCTTTAGTGGCTTCTCTATTGTAAGACTAATGTTGGGTCCACATGACTTCTGGGCAGGACAGTTTCCAACAGAACCCAAATTACCTGCTTCTCCTGCTTCTGGGAGTTTGTGGCAATTCCCTAGACTTTCATTTCTCTGCCACTAAAACCTGGACAAACTGATTTATACAAATATGATTCTCTGGTAGCCTACAAATCATTCTCAATATTAAGCAGCAAGAGGCTGGGAGAGATCCTATAGGCACAGTGGTTCCCATGTCTATTCACATTTGTAATTTACCCAAAGCTCAAATCTTTTCAAGTTCATGTTCAATCTGTTGTTGTTATCTTGGGCTTTGTAATACAACATAGAAGCAATAAATAGAGTTTCCTACTAGGCAGAAGTAGCTGGTGGCTTCTCTATATAGCTTCTTCCTGCGTGCCCTTCTTCCAATTATAATAGCCATGTCTCAACCTTCTTATTTCCATTTGTGTTTGTGACTTGTTACATATAATGAAAGGGCAGGGAAAGCAGGAATGGGGCCATGTAAACAATGCCAGGAATGGAGGGCAGCAGCAGCAGGTGCCTCCGATCTCCTCCGGGTCAACTGATGATGGGTTGAGAAGGAGAGACAAATTACAGATTGGAGCCAGAGCTCTGAAGAGTCCAGGGACTAGATAAATTACAAAATAAGCGTCCATGTCATCCTGGCTCAGTAAAAACAAAGAGATGAGCCCTGGCTGGTGTGGCTCAGTAGATTGAGAGTCAGCCTGGGAACTGAAAGGTCACCAGTTTGATTCCCAGTCAGGGCACATGCCTGGGTTGTGGGCCAGGTCCCTGGCTGGGGGCGTGTGAGAGGCAATCGATGTTTCTCTCACACATTGCTATTTCTCTCCCTCTCTTTCTCCTCTCTCTAAAAAATAAGTAAAATCTTAAAAACAAAACAAAACAAATAGGTGAGTTTGAGTTAGGTGTGTTATAAACCCAACAGGTGAAGCTGGATTGCAAGGACCTGGCAGGGGGTTAGGGAGGTAGAAAAAAACAAATTGAGCTCAGTTTTGTGGACACTTAAAGATTAATAAAATGTGGTTTCTGCCTTTGGGGATTTTCAGTCTGATGAGGGAAATGTTTGTGTAAGTAACTAATGGAAGAGCAGAATGAAATAATTGCTGAGTAGGTCTACAATAAAGTAAATGGTTTCCTCCAATTAAAGAAGATGAGAAGGCTTTGTGGAGAGGTAACATCTGGGTTTGGCATGAAAAAGATGAAAATTTCTGTCAGAAGGCTGATGGCTGGGGGTCAAAGGTGGCATTCTAGGCACAGGGAGCAGCGTGAGTAAAGACTTGGTGTTAGAGTGTGTTCAGGGACTGGTCAGCACAGTAGTGGGTGGGAGCATGCGGAACGTGGAAAAATGATGGGTGAGGCTGTTACTTTAATGTTCCCTTTTGTTCCCTTTTGTTCACATCACAGATGTGATGAGGGTCTCTCCTTTCTCTGTATTGAGTAGACCCAGAGATTTCTCAGATCTACTGGCTTCAGCTATATCAGTTTTTAAACACAGTAATCATGGAACTGTATTCCCCACTAAGCATCAAGTAGGCATCACCCTCACTGATTTTCTTTTATTGCTACTACAATGACTCGCCCTGTGCGGAGACTCTGAAATGATCCCTTGGTTGAGAATCACTGCCACAGGTAGCCTCTGTTCTTATGGGACTGTCATAATCCTCAGGTATGCTGTGGTAGAAAAAAGGCTGAGAACACGGCCTCAACGATAAATTCCCCAAGAGCAAGGACCACTCAATTAACTGCTCTTTACTCCCCCAAATTATTTTTTGGGGCCTCTATAAATAGGCAGTTAATGCTGTATTGCCAACACTTCACATAAGTTGTTTGGTCAGTTGACTTCTGACCATCTATAAAGTTGGAAAGGAATAGTAATGAGCCCAAGCTTCTAAACTTCATTACCTGCCTTCATACAGAATCCTCACCATGGATGGGCTCATTGAGGACATCAAGCGGCGCCGGTACTACGAGAAGCCCTGCCGCCGCCGACAGAGGGAAAGCTATGAAACCTGCCGGAGGATCTACAACATGGAAATGACTCGCAAGATCAACTTCCTGATGCGAAGGAATCGGCCGGATCCGTGGCAGGGCTGCTGAGGCCTGTGGGTAGTGGGCCCAGCAAGAAAACCTCTATCCAGTCGCGTCTCCAAGTCTTACTTTCTGCAGCCCCATTTTCTCTTGCCATTTCTCGCAATAAAACTCAATCACATGTTTATAAGAAAGCCTGTGTATGTAGAAACAATCCCACTGGTCAGCAATGGTCCCTCTCTTTTATTAAGTGAAAGAGAAACTGGATCAGAAGTGGTCTAGGAGTAGAATGGTGGTTGCCAAAGGCTGGCTGGGAGGGGGCAATGAAGAATTATTGATTAATGGGGACAGAGTTCGAATTTGGGAAGACGAAACAGTTCCGGAGACAGGTGGTGGTTGTGTAGTTGCAAAACAGTATGAATGTATAAAGCCACTGAATTGTACACTCAGGTGGTTAAATGGTAGATTTTATGTCACAGGTGGCAAACACAAGGCCTGTGGGCCGAATCCGGCCCTCCACCTTGCTTGATCCAGCCCAGCACCTTGTTCCTGCCCAGCGGCAGTGCCAAGCTCCTTGACCCTCGTTAAGGAATAGTTATATTTATGCAGTCCTAAAAGTACATTCGGCCCTTTGAAGGCAACCACGAGGCTGATGTGGCCCCCCGGGAAAATGAGTTTGACACCCCTGTTCTATGTATATTTTACTACAATAATTTTTTTAAAGTAGTCTAGGAGAAATGAGGAAATTTTCTAAAATGTAGTGGAATATATTTACCATTTCCTACCCAAATGTTATGAAACACAAAGCAAGATCTTACCATTGGAAAAGCATCTGTTAACCCTTTGCTGAACTGCCCCCCTAACTGTTAGGTAAAAGAAGGAAAGATGTATATGTTTGGAATAAATTCTGCTTCTGAGACACCCATCAAGCAGACTCTAGAGTGCTGGAATCCTTAACACAACTCTTAACCTGTTTTCCCTGATTCCTTTAGTTGTTCTAAAGGAGGCCAACAGAGGGATGGTAGAAAAGAGAGTAGGGTAGTGTTGAGAACTAGAGGGCCACAGAGCCAGAAACACCTACAGCAGCAGTTCTCCAACTGTGGTTTTCAGATCTGCAGTGTCCACGTAACCTGAGAAATTTTTGGAAATGCAAATTCAAGGATGGTACTTGAGACCTTCTGAATTGGAATTTGGGGTTGGAACCCAGTAATAATATAGTTTAACAAGCTCAGTAGGTGACTCGGATGCCCTATCGTATTCAAAAGAGACTCCAGATGGAGGTCCCACCACCAGCCCCTAACAGGCACTCCTGGGTCTGTGGTGAACAGCTGGGGGCATCTGACCCCTGGGAAGGCCAGCTGCTCTGCTTCCTCTCCTGCTGTGTATTTCCTCCTATGTTGTTCCCCCGACAGCCATGCTGCTGATACAAGGAGAGTTGGTGCCAACCACTGTAAGAGAACACAGTGGGTGGGCAGAAGCCGCCAGCTCACCTCATCTCAACCAGGCTGCAGCCCTCTGGGCACAGCGTTTGAAAAGGAAGTAAACAGCGGACTGCCAAGCCCCCTACCTCTCAAGATTGCTAGCGTGCAAACATTGCCCCCTTGTGGTGTAGTAGCATGGCTTCAGATTACTGGCCTTAATTTTGCCTTTATCTATCCTCCCTTTCACAAATACCACACTTAACTGCTGAAGCAGGCCTGCCAGAAAATATTCTTGGAACCACTGTTCCTTGCCTATCAGGGCCTGATTATCTATCTTCCTTTTGGCAGCCGTATGCTGAGGAATGCATGGCACAGAGATAGCTTAGGCCTGGCCCTCTGGAAACTTCCTCTGTGGTTGGAGAAATTTTATACACGGAGAGTCTTCAACTTTCTCAGCTTTGTACAACCTCATTTTAGTAAGTTAACAAATTAGACTTTGATACTTCTGAATCACCTTCCAGTCTCTGAATTTGGTTTTTAATACATCATTTTTCTGTGATTTTGATCCACATCATGGTGACATCTGCCAATCGCTGTTGCCGAAGCACGAAGGCCTGACCATTGCAGGATGGCAGGGTGTGTTTGTGGTGGTAGAACCGCACCTGTTAACTTGGCGGTATTCCTCGGAGGGGAAAGCTGTTTCTGTGCTCCCTCCCAAATGCTAAGGTGTGGCTAAGATCTAGAGTTTAATCTGGTCTGAAATTACCACCTGCTTGTCTTAATCTCCGGTCCTGATCATAGTCCACATCTCCCATATCAGTGAACAATGATGGGCTTTAGCAGCCAGTCAGAGGGGCCTCCAGTGTAGAGGGTAACTGGCTGGCTGGCTGAAGTTCTAATCAGCTTGTCCTGTCATGGCAGGAAGAAAGACCTTCTACTCCCTGGCCTGGGAAGCCAGAAAATGACTTTTGGTCATATGACAAGTACGGATTGCCCTAATCTTTTTATATTTGCATTGGGTTCAGGAGAGAGGTGGTTTGTTAATCATCCCCTTACAGGGTGACAGATACAATACCTCCTACCCTGATCTTATGCACCTGTGAACATCTTTTAGAGGTACACTGGATTGCCTCGGAAAGGCCTGTTCCAATCCCAACTTAAGGACCTTATAATGTTTAAGAAGCTCTAGAAACAGGTATCCCTTAAAATTGGGACTGTTGAGAAACTTTGACATTGTACTTCAAAGTTTTCAGAAGTGTGCCCTGGCTGGTATGGCTCAGTGGCTTGAGTACCAGCCTGCGAACTGAAAGGTCACCAGTTCGATTCCCAGTCAGGGCATATGCCTGGGTTGTGGGCCAGGTCCCCAGTTGGGGGCATACAAGAGGCAACTGATTGATGTATGTCCTGCACATCGATGTTTCTCTCTTTCTCCCTCCTTTCCCCTCTTTAAAAATAAATGAAATCTTTTTAAAAATAAAAAATAAAGTTTTCAGAAGTGCACTAAGTACAAAATGAGTTTGCCTATATGTTAGCTGAAAATAGTAAGGTATAATCACTCACTGTATACTAGTAAGATAAAGTAATAATGATATGGTGTGGCAAATGTAAGTAATTAAAGGGAAAGGAGAATGTTGGAGCTTCCACTATATGTGCCAGCTACCTACACATACAATTTTTTACTTAATCGAAAAATCTGATTCAGCCATGTTCTTGACAAATTATTTAACACAAACTTGTTTGCCCTGTAAAATGAGTATAACTGTATCTACAGGTTTGTGACTGAGTCAATGCATGTCAAGTAATTAGCATAGTGTCTGGCACATAGAACTCAATAAACGTTAGCAAGATGACCCCCCAGGTGTGTCAGCCAGAAACCTGATTATTGATTCCTTCTCCTCACTCAGTCATCACCAGCGTCCATTTAGCCCCTTCTGGCTGTCTTAGTGATCGCATGCCGCAACCCTAGTCCCCGCTACCGACGTAACTCTTCTGGATCACTACAGTAGCCATTTCACACCAGTATTGCCTGCCTTCGGTCCTTTTACATTTTGGCCAGAATGATTGTTCTAAATTGCAGTCTTGCTCTTTTTACTTTCTTATGTTGGTAATTGGTTCCTATTGCTTTCAGGATGAAGTCCAGATCCCTTAGCATGGCATTTTAAGGCCCTTCGTGATTGAACCATGCTTTTCTCTCTAGCAGTTTGTCCCCTAAATGCATTTCTGGATGACAGATCACGTTTTCTCTCCTCGCCTGTATACCAGCGCTCAGTTGGGCGTTCCCTGAGATGCCTTCCCTGATCCCTTTCACCAACTTTCCTTCCTGTATTCTCTTTAGTACATCTTTTTTTTTTTTAATTGAGGTAACATTTGTTTATAACATGAGTTTCAGGAGTGCAACATTATACTTCGACATCTGTATATACTCCATCATGCTCACTGCCAAGAGTCTAATTTCCATCCATCACCATACAGTTTACCCCCTTTGCCTGTTTCGCCCTCCTCCACCCGCTTCCCCTCTGGTAGCCACCAACTGTTTGCCTCTGTGAGTGTTTGGGGCTTTTGTTTGTTTGTGTACTTGTTTTGTTCATTCTCTTTGTGTCCTGAGTTTACCTGGATATGTTTATGTCTGGAATAGTAGTTTAGTTCTGTAACATGTTGCGATTTATTTCTTATTTGTTTTTCTTCACCCATCACATTTGCGGTTGTCTGCAGGGTTGAGTCTTTGTCTTTCTTACCACTGTATTCCCAGTGCTTAGTACAATGTCCGGCACTTACATGCTCAATAAATATGTGTTTCTTCATGGAACATATGACACTAGCAATGACCTATTGAGTCTTACTATGCACCAGGCACTACATTTTTAATATATATACGTGTGTGTGTGTATACACACATATATATATAACATGAAGTTTTCCATTTTAACTTCTTTTTAAGAGAGAGAGGGGAAAGGACAAACAGAGAGAAACATTGATTTGTTGTTCCACTTATGCATTCACTGGCTGATTCTTGTATATGCCCCAACCAGGGATTGAACCTGCATCCTTGGTGTATTGAGACAATGCTCTAACCAACTGAGATACATGGCCAGGGCTTACCACTTTTAAGTGTAAAATTCAGTGGTGTTAAGTACATGCACAATGCTGCATGCTAATCACAACTATCTCTTTCTGAAACTTTTTTATCCTCTGATACAAACTCTAATCTTTAAGCAATAATTCCCTACTCCTCCTCTCTGCAGCCCATGGCAGCCTCTATTCTTTCTGTCTCTATTTGTCTATTCTAGATCCCTCACATATGTGGAATCGTATGATATTTGCCCGTTTGTGTCTGGCTTATTTCATTTAGCATATTTTCAAGGCTTATCCATGTTGTAGCATGTATTAGAAATTCCGTTCTGGAAAACAGTATGGAATTTTCTCAGAAAACTAAAAATGGATCTGCCTTTTGATCCAGCAATTCCACTGCAAGGACTATATCCTAAGAACCCTGAAACACCAATCCAAAAGAACCTATGCACCCCAATGTTCATAGCAGCACAATTTATAATAGCCAAGTGCTGGAAGCAATATAGGTGCCCATCAGTAAATGAGTGGATCAAAAAACTATGGTACATTTACACAATGGAATTCTATGCAGCAGAAAGAAAGAAGGAGCTCCTACCCTTTGCAACAGTGTGGATGGAACTGGAAAGCATTATGCTGAGTGAAATAAGCCAGGTGGTGCAAGACAAATACCATTTGATCTCACCTTTAACAGGAACCTAAAGAAC